TTGGATGGATGGATGAGTGAATGTATGATAGATGTAATGATGGATGGATGGATGGATGGATGGATGGATGAGTGGATGGATGGATGGATGGATGGATGGATGGATGGATGGATGGATGGATGGATGGATGGATGGATGGATGGATGGATGGATGGATGGATGGATGGATTGATGGTTGGAGCCCTGCAAGTAAAGCCCCAACACATCCTTCTTCTGTCTTGGGCCTTTAGACATGTTTTTTTTTTCCTTACAAAGAACATGTCAGCAACATGAAGACTGCAAAATCACAACTCATTGAACCAGCTGGAACAACATGTTTGTACTGCTGAGAGCAAAGTAAAGAAGTTGGACCATAATGCACAGTGCCAACCACAGCAGCACAGACTCCTCATTCCATTGTTAAGCACAACGGTGGAGGGGTGATGATCTGGGCTTATGTTGCTGCCACATAAACCTGGACACCTTGCAGTGACTGAGTGGACCATGAATTCCTCCGAATACCAGTGTGGAACCAGAGTGAAAATTGTCTAGCTTTGTCTTTCCTTGATTGATATGGGTACCAGTGACCCTCACAACCTAAAAACAAAGATGAGGGTGAACATAATGGATGGAAGGATGTATTTAATAGTCATTAGAGATTATGTCAGGGGGTGGGGGGGGGGGGGGTAAAAGTGGTCTGTTTATCATCAGCTCTGTTCTGGTGGCCCTTGAAGCCTCGCCTTCCGTGCATGTGGGGAACTTGGAGCAACATCACAATGTGGAGCAGACTATTAAAATGTGCCTGGTGGTCGGCGGTGGAGTGGCGAAGGAACAACACCCCAGAGAGAGACTGGAAGAGAGAGACACGATCTCGCGCGGATGCCCTGATCAAAGATTTCTTCCTCCAATTAAGAGCGCGAGTCGCCCTCTAGCAAACATGAAAATCATTTAGAGTTAAAATAATAATAAAATAAAAAGGTCGACTATAGTTGTGGAGTGATTACGTCACAAATAATTGCGCGGAAATTGAGCAAATAATAACGACAATAATGTTGCGTTTGCGGTCACATTAAAAAATAATAATATGGAGAATTGGATCATATTTTCTGCTTCAGAGATGGTATTATAAAATGCAATCAGCCGATCGTCGCGAGGACAGCTCGGGTTGTCGCTCAAGTGCTCTGATATGCAGCCCTGATGACTCCATGCCATCACTCAGCGGAGGAGGCTGCAGCTCCGCGCTCCTTGGATGTGTCTTAATTGAAATGCATCGTCTAATCAATCAGGCGCGCGGATCCGCTCCGTGGGTGACATATCTGGACTGGTGCCTCTCCACAACAGTATCCTATCAACCTGTAACACCCAGCAGCTGCTGCCTGTGCCTCTGAGCAACTTGTGGAAAGAGAGCCGCCAAAACGCAGCCTGCAGCGCCTCGGGTATAGAGACAGAAACTTCTTATCACAAACACACACACACACACCCCCCTCCGCCCCAAACAGAGCAGTCCAGTATAGCCTTTATAAGAAAAAAAAAAGTTTCTATTGCATTTTTTTAGTACCTGAGCTGGAGAGTTGCGTGTGAGCGCGCGCAGCTGATCCGTCCACCGGTGCGCCCAGAGGCAGGAGTCGAACCAGAATCACCAAACAAAGACCCCCGGAGAACTTTCCTCACTATAATTCAGAGTCCTGTGGCCCCCGTCGTGGTTTTGTTGGATGCTGCAGATCAGACAGCTCCCTCCCTCCCTCTCTCTGTCAGCGGGAAGTTGAATCACACTTTTCTGTGGATCTCTCTGTTTTCTTAAAAACACAGCTGGAACGAGAAGATCCTCACTCCGCAGTGATGGTGCCCCCCACTGTGGGCCATATTTCCCATCCTCAAAGAGAGAGAAAAAAAAAAAAAACGGGGGTGAAACTGATCCTTGCCCAAAAAAAAAAAATACTCCCCTCTTTAAGTCCAAGTTTCTCCAGACGGATGGGAGCAGCTCAGGCTCGCGCGCACTCTAAGGACACACAGGCTGAGCGCAAAATGTCATCTCTGCTGCGTAAACCCGAGCGGCTGCACAAGGAGCTCATCTGAAGCGTTTTCCAGAGAGCAAGCGGTGAGATGCTGTGGCTAGGTTAGTTGCTTTCCCCGCTTCCTCTCCTCCTCCTCCTCCTCCTCCTCTCTCTCTCCATACTCATCCGAGCGTGGGAGGAGGTGGGGCTCCCATCCGCCGCAGCAACTTCACACTCAACATCACATTATTGCCTAACCGGGGGGAAAATGGTGTGATTCCTACAGTTTAAGAAT